CCACCCACCCACCCAGGGCACAGTGTGGACTGGGATTGTGCCCATTGTACAGATGGAGAAAATGTGGCTCAAGTGAACGCGGGCAAGCACAAGGAGTCTAGCCTTGACCCAAGGGTAGCGGCTGGTGTGCATCTGTGCCAGACCCCGAGCCCTTCCATCTGGCCCCAAGCACTCAGGAAGGCTTCATCCCCCTAAAGTAGAAAGAAGCCTCTGGAAAGACCAGGAGGCTCGACTAGAGGAGCTCTGTCTACGCCTGGGGACCTGCTGCCTTCTTAGAACCCCAGAGAGGAGGAGCTCACCTGCCCTGAAAAAGCACACAGCCCAGCAGGGAGGCAAAACAGATCTGCCTAGGCTGGATTTTCTTTCGGCATCTTCATCTGCCAGCCCTGAAGCCTCTGATCATCTGTAACTGAGCTTCTCTGAGCCTCAGTTTTCTCTTCTAAAAATGGATGTAGACACCCAGAGAAGGGGGTGAGGATTTTAAAGGACAAGATCTGCCAAGTGCCCAGCCAGCCCCTGCCCTAGTAGGCTGTACGAGGGGTCTGGTGTGGGGAGCCCATCTCTCATCAGGCAGGCAGCCCCGTCCCGGGATGGACAGGCTCACACCAACTGTCCCTTAAACACGTGCTCACCACATCTGCCCCAGCCCTGTGTAGCCGAGTATCCATGACTCATGCCACTCGTTGGGGCTCAGTTCAAGGTTGGCTGGTGAACCTAAGGACCCCTTGGGGAGAGGCAAGGAAGCCGAACCCCAAAGGAGGGCCTACCCTGCCATCTGCTGGCCCCAGCCTTTGGAACCATCCCGAGGGAGGCCTGCCAGGGGACCCATCCTATCCCTCTACAGGGGTTCCTCAGGGCTCCATCCTGGGCTTCTGCTCTCATCTGCTCCTTAAGTGGTATCTGCACACCACACAACCATTTTCAAGTCACGTCCCACAGCATTTCCATGCAGGAGTAGGACGCCACACTCCCCCCAGCCTGTTCCACCCTTGGGGCCTCCACTATCCACTCAGACAGAAGCTGCAGGCTGGGAGGTACCCTCAAGAAGCCCCCGACCTCCACTCCCCCATAGCCTTTTGTGTCTTTTTCGTAAATATAAGTCTAACCTGCCACTTCATTCCCTCTTCACCGCCTCCACCCTGGTCCAAAGCCTTCAAATAACCTCTCTTGGCTTCCTGCTCTCCCCCACCCCCACAACAGCCAGGGTGATCAATTTGAAAATCTGATGGTCATTCCCCCAGTAAACCCTATTCATGACCCTTCTACTGCATTCAGGGTAAAATGACAAATGCTGAGCCAGCCCCCAAGGTCCTGACATCCACCAGCAGCCTCCCTTCCTGCTCTGCCAGTTCACACAGCCCCAGGTTGACCCCTCTCCAGGTCAGGACGGTGTGGCTCCTTGTCACCGCGCCTCCTCACCGGGGCTGTCACACCTGTCTTCCCCCTTCCTCCTTCGCTTCCCAGAGAAACATACTCCCCAGCTCCTTCTCTGAGTTGGCATTCTGTGGAATTCAGGTGTTTTTTGTTCAACATGTCTTCCCACCAGACCGTAAGTGCTGTGGGGACAGGACCCATGTCTGCCTTGTTTCACTGTATTTTCAGCATGAGTTCGGTTGTTGGGACATAGTAACTAAGTTGGATGGAAGAAAAAACAGCCCCGGGGCCACTGGTCCTCTGGGTTCCAGAAGGAAGGAAGGACACTTGCTGTGAGCCGGGGTAGCCCAGCCTGAGTTTGCTTTCTCTGGGATCCCCAGGGCCATGATGGGGCCCAGCACCGAGTCAGGACTCAGGACCTGGACAGGCTCACCCCAGAACCTGCAGGTCATCTTTTGTTTGAAGGGTGTTTGGTTTGGATCCGGCTCTCCCCCTGCAAATGGCCAACAAAGCAGATCTAGGAACCTCTAGCTCCTGTAACTCTGGCACACGACAAACGTGAAACCAGGGTAAGTGCAGCCGCTTAACTGTTGTTACACCCTGACAATAAGCTAAAAATGTGAGAAAACAAAATTAGTTTAGAAAAAACTATTTCGCCCTTGGCTTCCTTGAGTAACTTTTTATGGTTGCCATGACGACCGTGGGTCCACTTATTAAGTCACAGCGTCCCCTGTGTAATGCCACCACACAGGCAGCAGGGTAGCCACCGGCTGCAGACTTACCTTGAAGTCATCCGGGAGCAGCAGTTTGGACGTCCGCAGGAAGCTCAGGACATAGCGGAAAATCTCCCCGTCCCGGTCAATGAAATAGTGTTGCTTCAAACTGTCCAGAACGATGGGCTCAGTGCCATTGAAGAGGCGGCTTATTCTAGAAGAGATGGAGGGTGGGATGGAAGGGTCAGTCCACCTACCCCAGCCCCATTCCTGAAACCGTGCCAAGCCTGAAGGATGTCTGCACACACCGGAGGCAGCCAGGCCACCGTCGGACAGGACACCGGCTCAGCAAGCGTCAGATGCCACACACTCCGCCTACATTCACAAGCCACAGCCAGGGAGACACGCCCAGCTACACATACCTGCTTGCCAACACACGCTGTAGGCCTGGAAAACTACAGCAACACACACACACAGCCTCCTTCCCCCCACACACAAACCCTAGCCAGACAGACCCACCCAGAAAACTCCCACCAACCATCAGACACCCCAGCCCAGAGCCACACAACCAATGAACACCCGTAAACCAGCCAAGACAGTCTTGGCTCCCACACATCCACATCACCCAACCCACAAGGACGAGCACCAGATGTGAAACACCTGGGCAACAGGCACAGGGTCACACGGCCCCCTCCCTCACAACACACCAATCACAGGCACATCCAGGCAAAGGCTACACCAGCCAACACAAGTCCACCAGGGACACAGCTATGTACACGAGGCAAACTCACAGATAAACCAACAACAGCCACTCATTCAGGGAGCCCTAGGGGAGATCCAGGGCAGGGAGGAGGTTCTGCACATGTGCATGCATGCCACAGTGCACACATGTACACACACACCACTGTGCACGTACAGGAACAGTGCGGGCACATACACCACAGTGCACAAAGATACGCACACCTGGGAGGGGTCTGGGAGGGGAGACAGGACGCAGCACCCTGTCCTCTGAAGGGCAGTGGTTCTGGCAGAAACTCAGGTCTTAGGGAGCTCCCAAGGCCTACCCCCATCCATTCCAGGGAGGAGGAAGCCGGCCTGGAGCCAAGACTTTGTCCATCCCATGCCCAGGGAGGCAGGCTCTGGTCTGGCTAACTTCCCCTGCAGACCCCAGGCCCAGCTGTGGACAATTAGGAGCCACAAAGAGGGGTGATGAGAGCCAAGAGCCTGGCCTGGGAACAGGAGGAAGGCTGGCAGAGTCTTCCCAGTGATGGCACCTCTAGGCATCCTTTCGTAGGCCACACACTTGTCCAGAGCTAGACCCTTCCAAGGCTGCATCCTGTCTGCACAGCCTGGGAAAAGGGTGGCCCTGACCTGAGATCAGGCCTTCCAGTCCAGCCTGCACAATCTGATCCCTAAGCCCCTTCACTCTCTGACATGGACCTTCCAGGCATGAGCCTCTCTCCCCCAGCAGCCCAGGGCTGTATGTATCCCAGGTCACTATGCCTGAGGCCCTTCCCTGCCCCTGCCATTGTGGGCCAGGGACATGAGCTGGGCGGAAACTGAGGGTTAGAGCTCAAAGCCTTTCAGGGTCTCCCATCTACACCGCCCTCCACTCAGTGGCCTGGTACACTCAGGCATCGGCCATGAGAGTCCGCCCAGGTACTGACCTGCTCTCAGTCTGGGGACATGGCCTAGCCCTGGTCCCAGTGGGGCTGTATAAAAGGGCAAGGCTGCCTCAGGGATGGGCATAAGCAGGTCAGAGCCTGTGGTGAGGTGTGGAGAGGAACCAGTGCTGCAGTCACCCAGATACAACTCATCTCGGGGCTCCAAAGGCCATCGAGCCCTATCAACCCCCCTAGGCCTGGTGACAATAGTACTGGGGGACACAGCCTTACTGGAAAGCCTTGGGGGCTCCATGGCCTGTCCCAACTGTCAAAGCCTCCGAGACCTGGCCTCAGCAGAGCTTGGGCATTCAAATGTCAGACTGAGGGCCACCCAGCATATCTGGAGACAGATGGGACTAAGCAAGGCTGCCAGGTGCCATGGGCAGTCACCATCAGACAGCTAAGGGCCCCCACATGGCATCAGCAGACAGAAGTAAAAACCACATCCACAGGTGAGCCAGCAGGCCCTAAGCCGAAGGCTCCCTGTGGAACTTTCTCCACCCTTCCTGGTTTGAGCTCAAACACTCCATGCAGCCAACAGCGTTCTACGTTTGGCTGCATTGCCAGTCCCGCTGACGTCAGGGGTGGATGGGGCTCAGACCACCTGTCAGTCCAGAGGACTCCTGGTCCACCCACATTCTGGGGCTGACTGGGTTCCAGGTTGTTTACTGGTCCAAGACTAGAAAGTGCTCAATCTGCCTTATTTTAGAACTGGCTGGTTTCTAGATCTTTCCAGGATTCAGTGTATCTCCACAGGAACAAGGTTTTCATGCTCTTGGGGTCTGAGGCTACCAAGAATGTGAGCAGGTTGAGGGGAGGTTAGTCAGTCACCGCAAAGGAGCACAGACACCTACAGGGTCTTGAGTCAGCTCCTGCCCCAGGTTACCCTCTGAGGAGGCTTCAGGGTTTGGGGTGCCACCTTCAGAAGTCCTCCATGGTATAGGCTAGCCCGTTCTGACCCCCACTGACAGGGATCTTGTCTTTCTTACTTTCTTTTTTAAAGCTTTGGTTCCAATTTTCTCAACATTCCAGTGGAAGGTTTTGTTGGTTCTGAAACTCCTGGACATCTCAATTTGTTGCTTCCTGCAGCCAGGAGGGCTGTGAGAGTTAGGCTACCATGGCAGCAGCTAAACCATGTCCAGCAGGCAGGAACGAGCTGGGTGTCAGCTGCAGGGAGTCCACTCCCAGCCCCTGGCAGCTGTGTTCCAGTCTCTGGGAAATGACTGACAGCTGTTCCTGAGCCAACCAGTGGTGGCACCTGTTCCTTGTGTCGGAGCCACTCCCCTCCCCACCCCTGCCAGCCAAGAGTCAGAAGCACAGTTCTGTGGGCACAGGAACCTGAGGGTCTGGTGGCAGGAGCCCCTTGTCTCCCAGCACTGCCCAGGATGGGACTTTAGCACTTTTATACAGAAACCCTCCAGGGGACCTCAACACTTTTAATTCTCCATTTCCAGGTGACTGACAAAGTGATACTGGGTAAGGGATTGCTCTTGGTTCCAGAATTGATGAAAAATAGCTTTTTAATTTTAATGATTCACTCAAGGACGGATGAGAGATCTAAGGGGCCCTTGCCAGCACAGCTGCCCAACCCACTTTTCAGGCCTGGCCTGACCCACTATCCCCTGGCTGTCCTATAGGTCATACCACCCCTGGCCTCTAGGCCAAAGCTTCAGGCCTGGGGAGCAGGTTGCCTGTGAGCCAGAAGCCATCCAAGCAGAACGGCAGATTCATTTTGAGTCCCAGCCTCAGGAAAAAATGCAGACTGCCACCTCCTCTGAGCACGTCCTGCAGCCAAGGGGCTCAGCTCCCCAGCTGGAGGGCCTGCCCCACCACAGAGCAAGACCACGGGGTAGAGCAGGACCAAGGACAAGGACAAGCTGCTCTGGGGGCCTGGGGGAGGGCCACCCACTGCCCTCCCGACTCCCAGGCAGCAGCCTGGACACAAGAAGGAGGAGGCCTGAGCTGCAATTACTCCATAAGGGGCAAGTGTTTGATTTCAGGAAACTCTCTTCAGAGAGGCTGTGGGCAAGGGTTTTATGAATTTCACTCACAAACGTCGTCCACCGATTAAGGGGTGATCTATCTCAAACAACTCGGGAATGCCACAGAGGGAAAAACTGAAATTAAATAAGCTGAATCCATCTCTTGTCCTCGACAAGGCTCTGCAAGCTAGCGGACCAGCCAACACTGCTGGTGTGGCCTCACGGCTCCCCCTCTCCCTTCCCCCGAAGCCCCAAGTTCACAAATGCCCCAGGCCTAGCCTCTGTTGGGCCAAGAAAATGAGGCTTCAACCACCATCTGCCCCCCCAGAATCCCCAGATTCTGAAGGGGACACTGCATCCACCTCAAAGTTCCCTCTTTGAGGGAGCACCGCAGCCCCATGGAGGGCTCCACCCCGGCCCTGAACCAGCCACCTACGCACAGTAGGAGTCCGCTGTGCTCTGAGCAACTGCACTGACGACAAGGCAGCCTGACAAGAAAGCTTCCCAGAGATGATCCCTCAGTGTCTGGGGGATTAATTAGCTCCTCTTGCTATTTTAAATGTATAAAACGGGCGGTGCCCGCAGCACTGGCCCTCCTGCTGCTCAGCCCTCCGCGGTGGCTGCATCACTGTGCCAGGAGCAAGCAGTCGCAGGCTCAGCAAGCAGCAAACGGCATCACCTCTGGGACAGGCTCAAGGAGACCCAACCCAGCTCAGGTCAGCCCCGCTGCTGTGCCAGTGGGAACCCAGGTCTGTGGAGGGAAATGCCCATGAGGCAAAAGCAGGATTCGGCAGCACCCAGCGCCTCCCACAGATGGGCGCACAAGGCAGGAGTGCCAGGGAGCTCTGGAGTGTGAGGCACCAGGCTGGGAGGGTCCTGGTCAGAGACACTATGTGCTGATGGGATATGAGGCTTATGCTTCTCCACAGCAGTCACTGGACCTCTCCCCCCTCCCTGAGGAAGCCTGCTGCTAGCCCTCAGGATGTAGGAGTAGCCACCCCAACAAAGATGGCAGATTGTAGCTTTCCTTCCTCCCTCTCCTTATGTGATTTCCCAAGTGTTAGAATCAGAAGTAAGATTAAATACAGGACCCCAAGGACACAGCACTGCTCACAGATGATACCCTGCAAAGGCCAGGCCTAAGTCCCACTCAAGAGGAACCTAGAGGCATGTCAGATCCCCCAGCCAGCTGCTGGCCAGCATCAGGAAGGACTGCTCTGAATAAGTGGCTTCTGCCAGTGGTTCAGAATCTCCACCTAGCACTACCAATGCAGCGAGCTAAGGGTTGCACGTCCCTGTACAAACCAGCCTTCAACTGGAAGACTCAGCCTCCCAAGCCCTAGTTCCCTGGGTGGGCCAGGAGAGCCCTGTGTGTTGGCTGGCAGGGGAGACAGGCCCTACCACACGCCTGGTACCACAAGGGGCTGGGCTCTTACCTGGAGTCGGGGTACTTGGTGAGCGTGGCCAGGCTGCTGGTGTACATGTGGCCGCCCACGTCGATGTGCACAGGCGCGTTGGACTTGGTGAGCTGGGCTGGCAGTGGAATCCCCTGGGCAGCCAGGGGAGACACAGGTGACCGGGTGAGAGACAACCGGGACATGCTTCCTCCCTCCTGGAGATGGAAACAAGGCAGAAACAAGAGTTTCTTCACAACAGAGCCGTGTACTCCCTTTATTGCCAATGTGATCACAGATCTAATCAGATCACTTCGCCTGTGCCTGATCACATATTCAGCTGACAAATTACGGCCACCACTGTAATTAAGGGTATCTGCATCATTCTCTTCAAAGTACCAGAGGGAAAAAGAAAGATGCTTATTAGCAATAAGAAATCAAGAACAAAAATTTTTCAAGGTGTCAGCCTCCAGGGGCATAAAACAAACTGCAAAATTCTAATTAAAGGTCGTGGGCTTATGTGTTAGATGTGAAATATCCCCTGACAAACGAATCACCAATTTGTGAATTGGGATTCAGGGGTTTTTGCAAGTTTGTCTCAGTAACGAGACACCTCTAAATTAGTGACTTCCTCAGCACCTAAGGCGTTGAGTTTTATACATGGAGTAAATTTCACATCAAATTAAGAGCATTTCTGTTTCAAAAAATACATAATCGTACAGCCAGTCAACAGTCATCTCTTGAATGCTGCGAGGAAGGGCAGCCTCAGGCACCCAGGAAGGGGGCAAGGAGGTGGCCACCACTGATCAGCCCACCCTCTGGCTCTCACCTCGGTGCCGGCGCTGCCTTGGGTGTGAAGCGAGGACCCGCTCGGCCGCTCCTTGCGGTGAGGCATCTAGGCTTCCATCGCTGCCCAGAGTATCTGTGGGAAGCACCGAGAAACCAGAGGGTTTACTCCTCAGAGGTCACGGGCGCTGTGTCTTCCACGGAGTCAGACACTTAGAATCGTCCTGCACAGGCTCTCCTGGACCCCATGCCTACTACAGTGTTCTCCAGATTCCATCTACCACTGTCCTGTCCCCATACCCCAAAGCATGCCCTCGGGCCATACCAAATCACTCACACACACACACACACACACACACACAC